GTTATGTACAAGGGAGTTCCTATAAGACTGTCAGCTGATTTTTCAACAGATATTTTGCAAGCCAGAGGGGACTGGCAAGAAATATTCAAAGTGATGAAAAGTAAGGACCTACAACCAAGATTACTCTATCCTGCAAAGCTATCATTTAGAATCAAAAGACAGATAAGAGCTTCCCAGAAAAGAAAAAGCTAAAGGAGTTCATGACCACCAAACCAGTATTACCAAAATTGTTAAGTGGTCTTCTTTAAGAAGAAAGAAGGAAAGAAAGGAAAGGAAGGAAAGAAAAGAAAGAAAGAGAGAGAGAGAAAGAAAGAAAGTACAAATAATAAAATGACAATAAATATGTATTTATCAACATTACGTGAAATGCAAATAGATTAAATGCTCTAATGAAAAGACATTAGGAGACTGAAGGATAATGAAACAAGACCCTCACATATGCTGCCTACAAGAGACTCACTCCCAATCAAAAGACACACACAGACTGAAAGTAGAGTGATAGAGAAAGATATTTCATGAAAATGAAAACAAACAAAAAACCTGGGGTAGCAATACTTATACCAGACAAAATAGAATTTAAAACAAAGGCTATACAACAAGCGACAAAGAAGGATTTAGCAATTCCACTTCTGGGTATTTAGCCAAAGAAACACAAAACATTAAATCGAAAAAACATACATCCATATGTTCACTGAAACATTATTTACAATAGCCAAGATATGGAGGCAACCTAAGTGTCCATCAATAAATGAGTGGATAAAGAAGTGGTGCACATATACAATGGAATGTGACTCAGCCATAAAAAATAAAATAAGTCAGACAAATGAAGACAAGTACCATATGATTTCACTTCTACATGGAATCTAAAAAACGAAGTAAACAATAAAAGCTGAAAAACAATCATAGATACAGAGAACATTTTGATGGTTGCCAGATGGGAACAGGGTTGGAGAAATGGGTGAAAAGATTAAATAGCACGAACTGGTAGTTACAGAATAGTCACAAGGATGCGAAGTACAGAATATGGAATATAGTAAATAATATTGCAATAACTATGTATGGTGTCAGATGGGTACTAGATTTATCAGAGTGATTACTTAGTAGGTTACATAATGTCTAATCACTGGGCTGTACACCTGAAACTAATATAATATTTCATGTCAACTATAATTGAAAAATGAAAAGTTATGTTTCCTCTTCAAATTTTTGTTATTTGAAACTCCTTTATTTTTAAAGATTTTCTTTATTTATTTTTAGAGAGAGGGAGAGGAAGGGAGAAAGAGAGGGAGAGAAACATCGACTGGTTGTCTCTCATGCACCCCCAACCAGGGACCTGGCCCTCAACTCAAGCATGTGCCCTGCCTAGGATTTGAACCAATGGCCTTTCGGTTTGCAGGACAACGCCCAACCCACTGAGCTACACCAGTAAGGGCCGTTATTTGAAATTCCTTTGCTGGTATCTTTTCTTCTCCCAGACTTCTTAATGTTCAGTTCCAGCACTTCTTTTCTGTCCAGACTCACTCTCTTGCATTTCATCTAGTCTCTTGGCCAATTAACTCCCCAAATTTTTATCTCCTGCCCAGCTCTACCTCTTAACACAAGATTCACTCTCTATCTGACATCTCTACCTAGGTATCAACAAATGTTCTGATTTCAATTTTGTCAAAAGCTGAACTCTTGGCCTTCTACTGAAATCCACAGGTAAGCCTATATCTCAGTTAATGTCTTCTCCATCATTTCAATTGCTCAGGTCAAAAATCTCAGGACTATTCCCGACTTCTCTTTTTCTGTCATACAATACATCCATGAGGAACTCCTATGAGCTCAAAACAAACCTAGAATCCAACCACTTCTCATCACCTCCACTATCACTATCTAGATCCAGGCTAACGTCACTTCTAGACTATTGTAAAAACCTCCTAACCGGGTCCCAGCTTCTACCCTTGCCCCTTTAATTTGTTCTCAACACAGCAATCAGAGCAGTCCTTCAGAATAAGTCAGATCACGGTGCCTATCTATTCAAAACCTTCCAGTAACTCCCCTTTTCACTCAAAATATGAGGCAAAGACCTCACTGTGGCCGAGAAAGCCCTACATGGTCAGCCCGCATCCCCCGCAGTACCACCCTGACCTTAGCCCCCACAACTCTCTTGGTCATTTTGCTCCAGCCACACTTGCCTCTTTGCTGCTTCTTAAACATACCGTGTTTGCCTTTGTACCTAAAACACTCTTGTCCATCATACACACATAGTCACTCAAACTTCTTCACGTCAACTCAAATGCCACCTTCTCAGTGAGGACTGCCCTAACCACTGTATTTAAAAAACAATTTCCATCACCATCACTACATCATCATCCCCAATTTCCCTTATTTTACTCTCTTCTTCCTTTTTTTCAGACCACTTTTCACCTTTCTAATTTATGTATTAAGCAAACTTTATAATTTATGTTTTATGGTACTTGTTCATTACTGGTCTCCCCCATAGGCAATGTAAGCTCCACAGGAGTACGTATCTTCGTCTATTTTATTGATTGCTATATCAATATAATGTGCCTGAAACATAATATATGCTCAATAAATACTTGATAAATTAAATATTTACTCCAGGAAACTTATCCCACACTCAACTCTACTGTGAATTTCATAGAAACCCTGGTCCATACTTTAGACCATGCTATTTTATGTGAACTTGACATTGTTAAGGTGGAGGGCCAAGAGAGACTAGTAGGGGTAGAAATGGATGTGAGGTACCATAAAATTGAAGAGACCATCATCTTAAAATGTTCAATCTTATAAAATGTCTGATTTGTGCTGGATTACTAATTACAGGCCAATTACATTGATCATGCTGCCCCTGGCTCAGGAAGTAATTGTATTATTTTAAAAAATATCCTACAGTCTTCTAGAAGTGGCCTGAGATATAAATTTTCTTTACAAATGAGGAAATAAAATCTGTGAATTCAAGTACTTTTCCATAGTGAAATAACTCATTAGGAGAGAGCTAAGACCCACTGGTGTCTGCTGTAACTAAGTGCTCACAGAAATAGATGGCAGTTTTCCTCATCCATAAACAGAGCCTTCATCTGCCCTTTGGAGAAGATTCCATGGAAGATTTTCTGAGGTCTTCTCTTGGCTACAATAATCTAAGACCATGAGAGTTTATCAAACTAGAGTTTTATTCTAATCATTTTTTTTAAATTCTCAGGTTTGTCAAGGCATAATTTACATACAGTAAAATTTCAAGTGTCTACTTTGCAGATGTCCACTTTTATGAATTTTGACAAATATATACAGTCATGAAACTACTTTTCTTCTGTCCTGATATTTTTTGCCTTTTCCAGCATGACATACAAATGAAACCAGATAATAAATATGTAGATCTTTTGAATCTGGTGTATTTCATTTAGCATAATGCAGTTAAGAGTCATTATGTTGGTGCATGTATTAGTAGCTTGTTCCTTTTTATTGTTGAGTATGTATGTACCACAGTTTGTTTATGCACCAAATGATGGACATTTGAGTTGTTTTCAGGTTTTGACAATTACAAATAAAATCATTACAAACATTAATGTCCAGGTTTTTGTATAGGCATAAATCCTCATATCTCTTGAGTAGGCAGTAAGAGGTGGGGTGGCTAGTTAATAAGTGTATGTTTAACTTCATAAGAATTTGCCTAAGTGTTTTCCAACGTTGCTGTACTATTTGCATTCCTATCAGCAATGTCTGAGTTCTACTTGCTTGAGATGTAGGCCAACACTTAACATTGTCATTTTTTTGTGTTTTTTTTTAAATTAGCCCTTCTCATAGGTGTGTATATAGTGATATCTCATTGTATGTTTAATTTGACTAATAATGTTGAGCATTTTTTCCCATATCATGTAAATCTTAATAGATATCTTCACAATAAAAAATAAATAATTACTAACCCTGGTGGGATAGCTCAGTTGGTTAGGGCATCATCCCTATATGCCAAGGTTGAAGGTTCGATCGCTGGTCAGGGCACATATAAGAAGCAACCAGTGAATGAATAAATAAGTGGAACAACAAATTGATGTTTCTCTCTGCCTCTGTCTCTCTCCATTCCTCTGTCTCTCTCTAAAATCAATAAATTCTAAAAAATGTAAATAACTACTTTCCTATGGACTGAATAAGCAGGGGAAGAGAGACTAAAGTAAAATAGGACACAAAATTTTTTAAATTCATTCATATTCATAAAGCTGTTGAGGGGATCTATCTGATAACATAGATGGAAATATTTAAAAATATGTAAAGTACTATTAGAAAATCCAAGGTGCTGTAATTGCTACTAAGCATTCAAAAGTTATACTGATGCAAAAACTGCACCAGGGGCCTCCAGCTCTCTGAGAAGAGAGATGAATAAAACATCTTAGTCTGACTCACCTTGCTAACACTGTCTCTGTTTACAATTTTGGAGCTGTCCTGAATTAAGCTAGTTTTTAGCATTAGAGACAAAGCCCATGGTTTTCAAGCATAAATGTCACTTTTCTTTCCACAGTCATTATAATCAATGAGTTCAATATTCTAATAATAGCAAAGGATAAATTTATTATTTTAGAATGAGAATCTGGCCAACTTCTGACCTGGGTCTTCCTTCTCCAACTAACGCTTCATCTCTAAACAAGTCTCCAGGCTTCCAAAAACTAAAAAGAAAAGCCTTTTCCATTTGTCTTTCAAGAACCTCTAAGGGATAAATGAGTTGAATTTTACTGAACCAATAAGAACCTCTGATGAAAGAGTTTCTCACAAAAAAAGGAAAAAGCTAAATCACCTGTCCAAGATTCCTCAGAATATCTGGATAAACAACATGACAATGATTAATTGCAAACCACCTAGGGTGGTTCCAGATCAAACAAAATCCTGTGGGACCGTACTGGATATCTAAATATAATCCAAAACGATAAACCAATAGGCAAAACACCAAGGATTTGGAGTGCCGTTCTAGATAGGATTATTATTCTACCCCTAAAGGGAAATCTTACCTTTCTTTCTTTTAATAGCTTCTTATAGCCATTTGATCCAAGTGATAACAAAGTAATAAGGACATCTAAAGAAGGTGAAGCTGAAGCTCTTCCTGAAATAAGAACGGGTTACATTCAGAAGGGTAAAAAAGCTTTGGAGATTAAGATTTATTATAGTAGCCAATGTACAAATGGATTTTTGTTTGTTAGTTACTTTTTCTGAAGAGCAACTAATTTATTTACCTGGATACATCTTGCTGATTTCCTGAATGAAGGAATCATTAAAGCCAGCAATTATAGCGCCACCTACTGGAACCATAAAATTTTTGTCCAAGCTCTGAACGAAAGCATCTATTCTACCAACCCGAACCCCCTAGAATGAAATAACATGTAGTATCACACATTAGTTTCTAGAAGAAGAGACAACAAATAAATACATTAAAATAATGCATGAAAATCAAAAACAGATAAAATGTTTTTATTCTTTGCAACAGTGCCAGTAAAATATTTTTAAATATTAAACTGAGTTTTTAAATGCTGCTCCTTACATGTGCAAGAGCACTTTATAGTTTACTAACTGCTTTCACACAAAAATCACTTAATCCTCACAACAACCCTGTGAGAAGGGCAGGGTTTCAATAGCAATTCAGGTGGGAACTATATTGAAACAGGGCTTTTCACCTTAAAATTGGGTGAGAGAGAGTGGATTCCTCCTGTGCCTATCATCTGTGATCTTCTATTTGACAATAAATGTCAACAGTGGGCCCTAAAACTATTAAGTAATTTTAAACACCCTCTGTGAGGTTAAGAGTGGCCACCATATTCTAATGGACTGTAGCCACCCACGCTGCCAATCAATTAGTTATACATTTAAGTGCCTCTCTTTGATTCTTGGATAATCTGCTACCTGCATGACCACTTAAAGCAATAAGTCTGCTCCTACCACCACTCAGATAACAAAAGAGAAAAAGAAAATTTTTATTTTTAACATCAACTAATGGAAATTCTTTTTAACTCTTGGCAATGTTTCTTACATTAACTCATGTTTCCTAATGTTATCATCTTAGATGATCTCATTCTACTGCAAATGAACTTCCAGGGAAAATCTAATATTCTGGTGAAAAACTGAATAGTTACTTAACATAAATATAAAACCAAGTTCTAGTTCCAATCCGACATAGTCTATGACCTTCTGTCTAATGTGCTTCAATTTTCTCCTCTTAAAAACAGAGATACTATCTAAATTTCAACTAAGAGAGTTTTTTTCTTTATCTGTGGTGACAGATTTTCAATCTGTATTCAGAATCTACATTCCTATTAATATTATAACCACATTTGACCTTCAGCTTCACACTTTCTCTCCACGTCCATATCTCAAGAAAAACAGGAGCAGCAGATAGCTGGCCTAATCTAAGAGAACGGATCCCAGCAACAGGTAGAAGCATCAAAAGCTGGAGGCTATCACAGGATTGTTTAAATCTCAACCTTCCCGTTACTTTTCTAATTTCCTCATAAACTGTGATCCTAGAAAAATCTCACCATAGCACAGGAAAACAGAAGCATATAAGACTGATAGACTAAATAACTGAAAAACATGCAAAATAGTAGCACATAAAAATAAAGCGGAACAGTTATAGTTGCCTTTTATTAGCATTTCAGTACTGGCCAAGGCTTCCCGAGAGAAACTTGAATCTCATTTGGGAGCAGGATCACTAAGAGAACAATCAGTGCCCCAGACTTTGCTAAACTCCTTCATCACTAAAACACAGGAAGCACTGGAAGGGCAGCATATCCTGCGGCAAGAAAACAGGGCTGGACCCATCTCAGGAAGGATATATATTGTATATGGACCTCATTCTCCACACTAAAGTCAGAGGCTATTACAGAGCAGAAAAAAAAACACCTGAAGGTTAGAAGCATTTAAACAGGAAACAGAGAAGCATGTTCTATGAAGTAAAAAATTGCCATTTATAAATTCACTCATTTACTCATTTATCCATAGAATATGTGGATACTTATCAGTTGTCAAAGATTGTTCTAGGTTCTGGAGCTGGAAGTAGTGAATAACACAGATGACCCTTGAACAATGTGGGGGATTAGGGGTCCCGGAGCGCCTGCACAGTCAAAAATCCATGCATAACTTTTGTGGGTCCTCCGTACAGGCAGACTCCCAATCCCCTGATTCCAGGAGAGGATTCTGGATGACTCCATCTACTCCAACACCCCTCCCCTCCAAAATATGTTATCATCAACCAAGACCTGTCACACTTATTGTTTACTGCCTGCTTCTGCTCCATAAGGACAGGCTTTTGTTGTACTCACTACTGCATCCCCAACACCTATCCTGGTGCTTGGCTCATCAGTGGGAACCCTGTAAATATTTGTTAAATGAACTGAAAATTAAGACTGTGAATAAGTAGTATAACACTTACTTCTCTCAAATTCTTAATAAGCAAAGTTGCTGCTTCCTACACTTTGGATCTTTACAAACCATTCTGACTCTAAAATAATTAATTCTATGTATTTTTACAATTCTACTATATCCCCCTCCATTAAGCCGTCCTAATATCCATATTCCATGAGTCTCCTAAATTAGTCAGTTCAGTATATAAATGGAAGTGTAGGGTCTTTAGAACTAACTTCCTGGGGACTACATGTGCATATAGAATGTTCTATATGTCCTACATTAAGTCATTTTGGGGCACTGTCCTAAAAACAAAAAAAAAGGAATCCTGACACCTTTTAGTTCTTCACTGATTGCCTCATTATTACAATATGAGCTTCCCAAGAACGTATTTGCGGTTTTAGTACTTTGTCTTTTAGAATAAAATATGGGGCTTTGTGATCACAATAAATTACATGGGCCATTTTGTAGCTTCAGATCTTGGGCAAGTCACTTAATCCCACTGAGTTTGTTCCTTCATTTGTAGAATGGAAACAATAAGAAATAAACCTAAATTGTTAGGATTAAGTTATAAACTTTGAAAATCTACCAAGATACCTGGCACATAACAGGTACTCAGTAAATGGCATATATTACTAACAAGAACTATTGGGAAGAATTAAAAGTAACCAATCTTTTTAGAATGTCAGAAACAGCAATCAGCACCCAATTTTACCCAAGTACTTATGATTTAAAGCAGTGGATTTACCACCTCTATTTGTAAGGGGCAATTTGGGAAAAATGGAATGTCTCGATACTGCTTTTTAAAAATTTTGAATAAATGACAATTTTAGAAGGTAATGCAGTATCTTCAACAACAGAATAGCTACATTTGAAAAATTCACTCACCTATCTTGCAGTGGTATTTTCTGGTTAAAATTTTGGTAAAACCACCTCCTGAATGAAGAGAGGTGATGACAGAGCAGGGTGTTCCTGCCTCACAACTCTAAGGGCACACTGCACATCCTATCCTGGAGCTCACTTTCTTTTAGTATTAATCTCTTCAAGTATGCCACCAGATTTCTAGTATTCAAAAAATACGTATGAGCACCAAAACATGGAGCACTTCCAGATTAAGTAAGCAATATTTAAGTAAACTTTAAGGAACCATTAAAATGATCATTATAAAACTTTATATGCACATGTAGAGTATAAAACTCTAAGTTTATATTTAAGTTTAAAAATTAAATATATTTTTGCCCTAGCTGATGTAGCTCAGTGGATTGAGTGCTGAGCTATGAACCAAAGGGTCACCAGTTCAATTCCCAGTCAGGGCACATGCCTAGGTTGTGGGCCAGGTTCCCAGTAGGGGGTGTTCAAGAGGCAACCACACATTGATGTTTCTCTTCCTCTCTCTCTCCCTCCCTTCCCCTCTCTCTAAAAAAATAAATAAATAAAATCTTTTAAAAATATATTTTTTCACTGTTTTTAAAGGTTAATTCTAAATGTACACAATGACAATATATAAAAAGCAATAAATGTATATAAAATAAGAAAAAGTAGATACATAAATTATTATAAGTATTAGGGCAATAGGGTTATGAATGAGCTTCTCCTCCTTCCTTGATGTTCATGTATTTGACTTTTAAAAGAATTGAGGCTGCTAAAAGTTTAGGAAGAGGAGAAGGGGAAAAAGGGAGGAGAAATAAAAATAAATCACTGAATTAAAGTTATTTTTAATATTTCCAGCACAGAGAATTATACAACCTTCTGCTACTACTCAAAGTAAATAAAACCTGGTTTAGAATTGTGAGGAAGCCTTCATAAGTTAAGGAATAGCAGAAAAGGATATCAAGGTAATGGTAGTTTTCCTCCAAAGATCTTAAGAAATGCTGACATATCATGCCTATAGTGTACTCCACCCCTAGACTTCTTATGTTATATAAACAAATCTATTTCCTTACTGGTTAAACTAATTTGAGTTGGAATTTCTGTCACTTGATACCAATTACAACCTAACAAGTACAACTATTGAGTAAAGAAATTAGTAAATCAGCTATTACTATTGTATAAACCACATTTATATCAGAGATGACACTAGTATATTCAAATGATGAAAAACAAAAAAAATTTACTAGATAAGATTTACTGGGCTAACAAGCATTCACCACCACGTTGGAGAAGACCACAGATAATCTGTGAATAATCTGTGTCTACATGACATAAATCACATGTATTTGAAAACTGAATATGTGATTAACATCATTATGTACTCAAATTATATAACTCATCATTCAGGGATAATACCTAACCATATCCTAATATAGTATGAATAATTAATCATTGTAAGTAAATATAATACTTCATTTATTTATTCCCTTTTTTTAATAACTAGTTAGAGTGTCAATTATGTACCATGTACTATGTCCTAAGTATTGAGGACATAACAGTGAACAAAACAAAGTCCCTTCCTAGTGGAAACTTAATTTTAATTACTATCAATAAGTAGACAACAAATAAATAACCTATTAAATGGTAATAAGTGCTAAAGAGAAAAAGAGCAAGAGGCCATCAATTTCAAGAAGTAACATTGTTTTACATAGCAGTAGGTAAGAAGAAACTGCCAATTAACATTTATAAGACACCAGTGATTGTAAAACATCCTGATTTCAGAAATGTTATAAAGTGGAAAACACGCATCATAAAATTGATGAAAATGGTAAAATAGGAAAAGCAGAACAGAAACGGTGGCAAGGGAAAGGGAGGTGTTATATTAGGTAAGAGGGTCCAAGAAGGTCTCATCGACCAAAAAAGAGTAGGAAGCCATGCAACTCTCTAGAAGAGCAACCCAGTGAGAGGGATGAACTAGAGCAAAAGCCTGAGGCTGTGCGCACATGTGGCTCAATGGGGGAACAGAAGGAAGGCACGCGCAGCTACAGAGAATGGGTAGGAGAGCAGCAGGAAGTGAAATCAGAGAAGCTGCAGAGGCCTGAATATACAAAGCCTAGCAGGCCATGGCTGCCACTCTCATTCTGAGTGAGATGGGAAACCCCAGCATATTTTCAAAATAAGACTCTAACACAGATGACCGGGATCTGGTTGATGCTTATAAAAATAAAGAAAGTCATAAAATTTTTAAAAACTTGCCCACTCCATAGTTACATGCTAGAGTATTTATAAATGAGGTCACATCCAGTCTAGGATAAGCTAAAATGATTTCCTTAAAGAACAGATCATCAATACAGTTTTAAAAATACTATAATCCAGTATATTAGCAAAATGAGAACCCCAGTAATGAAACATTCTCAGAAAGTTTAAAAACTATGTTTCTGAATATTTCTATGTTGGTTCTGACCAAAGCTATTAGTCCAATTACCACCATACTACCAAAAAATGACTTTTACTGCCCTGGCTGGATGGCTCAGTTGACTGGAGCTTCATCCCATGCACCAAGAGGCTGTGGGTTCGATCCCTGTCAGGGCACACACCTAGGCTGCAGGTTTGATCCTTGTTGGGGTGCAAACGGGAGGTAAGCAATTAATGTTTCTCTCTCACACCAATGTCAATGTCTTTCTCTCTCCCCGCCTTCATCTCTAAAATCAATTTTCAAAAAAAGACTTTTATTGAGTGAATATTGGATGCAAATTTCTAATACTCCATAAAGTAGAGGGTGTTAGATAACTGTTTTTATTATATTAGGTTGCAAGAAAAACAAAGTAATAATCCTATATGTTAAAATCCATTTTTTTCTTGACATGTTTTTTTAAAACGCTCTTACCTGCTGAATGAGGTGCATACACTTTGAAGACTGCAATCCATAAGCATTGTTGACTACATGTGGAATGTCATAATTAGCACAAATCACAGCCAGTTCTTCTAACCTACAAACAAAAATATTCAATAAAGACTCACTCCTACTGTGCTTTTACAAATTACAGTGTGAAAACTAATTTAATAGTTAATGTTAATGTATATTAGGGGAAAAAAATGACAAAACTGAAATTTCTACAGCAGTATTTTAGCATACAATTTAGCAGTTTGGCAAGATACAGAGGCACTTTAGGATAAACATTAAAAAGCTTTTAAATTTATAATGTTACCAATAAATAAGAAAATGTGTATTTATAAAAATCTGTATAGATGGTAGCTTTTAAGCCACTTTAAAATTTCCTATAGAAAATGCAAGAAGCAGATTATTTATAATGACCCCTTATAATGTAGTATGTTCATGTTTAAATACTTTTGGTTGCTTATCATACTAAAAATATTATCTGCAAAATAATAAGCACATCTTGCAATCTTTAAAAAAACTCACATTATTTATCATACTATAAATATTATCTACAAAATAGTAAGCATATCTTAAAATTTTTTAAAAATCTCATATTAAACATCTTAAAATGTAAAAAATTCATTTTCAAATATACTTCAATGTATAAAAAATAAAAAAACACTAAAATGCTTCATATAACATGTTTCAAATAACATTTTCCAACAACTTCGATACTAAAGATCTAGTTTTAAATTCACTCTTACTTTCTCACTTGACACTCCTTATATTAAGACAATCTGACATGCGGATATAAAGTACAGCACAGAGAATACAGACAATAATATTGTAATAACTAAGGATGGTGCCAGATGGGTACTGGAAATATCAGAGGGAACATTTTGTAAAGTATATGGTTGTCTGACCACTATGCTGTACACCTGAAACTAATACAAAATAATAGCAAATGCAAACTGTAATTTAAAAATAAAATTTAAATTAATAAAAGAAACATAATAAAGACAATTTGAGAGTCTAACTTTATGCAAAAGTAATTAAATATCAATTAGAGTATAACAGATGATATCCCTTTGCAAAATCAAATAATACTTGTGACAGAAGTTATCTTTAACAAAAATGTCTTCACACTATAAAGCTGAGACTAAATTCTATGGTTTAATAAAATTAATTTTTAAAAAATATTCTTTCTACAACATAAAGAATTTGGAAGCAAAACATTTTTATAAAACAAAAGCTCCTTCCCACAGGATATATTTCAAATCTCCTGTGGGAAGGAGCTGTAAAGTAGTTTACAGCTATATGTGAAACACAAGAGTTTATTCTTATTATTTATTAATTATTGCATTATTTTCAAGATATTCTTCAAGTAGAATTCATAGACTCATGATTGCAGCAAGGTAAATTTTCAAGAGCATGATTTTAAAATTGTCCTTTCAAGTCTGCCTTTAAGATAGTAAAAGCTAATACACATTCATTACTGCCAAATTATGTGATTCCATGGAAGCCAAAGTATAACTTGACTGCTACAAAAACGGTAAAAAGTCAATATAATTCTAATAAGTTACTAGGACTTTATGCAAAATGTTAAAAGGAAACAAAGACTTGCTGTCAAAACTAGAAATGTGGCCCTGGCTGGTGTGATTCAGTGGACCGAGTGCCAGCCTGCGAACTGAAAGGCTGCTGGTTCAATTCCATCAGGGCACAGGGCTGGGTTGAGGGCCAGGGCCCTAGATGGGGGCATGTGAGAGGCAACCAGTCGATGTTCTCTCACACATCACATAGCTTTTTCTCTCCCTCTCTTTCTCCCTCCCTTCCCCTCTCTCTAAAAATAAACAAAATCTTTAAAAAAAAAAACAAAAAAACAAAAACCTAGAAATCTGTTCTCTTATACCTAAGTCTATTACATTTTCAGAATAAAAATTTATGGCCATCCTTTAGCAAAGTAAACATTTGCTTTTTTTCATTTTGATTTTATTTTCTTAAACATTTGCATTTTTCTCAGAATGCAAAGAAAACCACTGTGTACACCTAACTGTACATCTAAGTTAATCTTCCAATTAAAAAATAATCAAAGGGCAGTAAATAATTCTAAAAAATTGTTTAAAATCTGCCACTACTGACAGTTCCTACATATGAAAATTAATTGTAAGATCAAAGAAGTGCAGATAGCAATGAAAAGAAGTAAAAACCCAATATTTAGCTTAGAAACTTCTATTAAATAATGAGGGGAAAGATGCTGGGAGAACAGAAACAGAAAAAGAGCAAGAAAACAATTGCTCTGCACCTACTCAGGTGATAAAGAGATCTCCACTTGGCGCTAGTTGGTTTTCCTTCTTTTATATCAAATTTTTATTTTCTTAAGAAATGATGCTGTTTCTCCACAAGGTCAACCTATTCTCTTAGAACAGTCCATTCACCTATTTACTGCCAAATGTTACTTTAGCATCTTGCAGAATTACTAGATGTACATTTTATTTAAAAAACTGATGAATACCTACAGGACAACATTCACAAATCATTTACCTGTCAGGCACCCTTGGAGCAAAGCAGGATGTTGTAGAATGAACACACAGCACGTTATCAGGCCCAAGTTCCTGGACTTTAGCTTCCACTGCTTTCAGGTCTGTGCGCAGCTCGTCGCCTTCTAAAATGTTTTCTATCACCACAGGCTCAAAACCTGACCAAGCCAGAGGCAGAAATCAAAATATTAGCGTAAACTAAAATAAGAGAAGATCCTGGAACTCCAAAAAGCAGTGCTATTCTACACAAGAACTCTAAATATTTATTTTGGTCGATGAACCTTCCTCTAGAAATAATGACCTGGCTCAATACTGGGATGAGTCCAAGGCAGGTTAAAATAATGTGAAGGACTAGACCACAATTAGGACCACAAATCTATTTAGCACTTTAATATGACAAGAAAGATTAATTCTGGGAATTAAGGAAAACAAATGTTAAATAGATACCTATAAAAGTAGTAACAGTCACTGATGACAAAAAGGATTACTTAGTCCAACTCAATTTCAATCCACCGGAAAGTACATCTACACATTCTTTGGCAATGCTTAAGTTTTAAAGTTCACTTTATTTCAGAGATGAACAAAAATAATAACTCAAGTATTGAAAACAAGTCACAATCACCAACTTAATGTTTTACCTCTAAAGAAAAGGGTAATGCATTTTAGTACTCTAGGGATCTCTGACTTATCTCAGAGTATACAAGGACCTTCTATAACTTAAATATAAAAATTGTTTTTCAATTTTCAATTGAATTAGTATACTTAACTATCATGTGATCAAAGGTCCACCCAAATAACAACTATGTAACCTAGCATAGTAAATATTTAGGTATCCATAAACTTAAAAAGCTGTATAAACAATATATATACTAAATAACGTACAAAGCACTTATATAACTAAGTACTGTGTGATACTAGTAAGTACTTAGAGTAAAAGTAAATCTTAAATGTTTAAGTCTCAGAATTTGAATAGAAAATTAACCTGGGAAATTTTGCACATAAAATTATAGTCACATCTTCAGTCTTCCCAAATACCAAATCTAGCAGCAAGTCAGCCTCACTGATTTAAAAACCTAAAGGGAGCCCTGGCTGGTGTGGCTCAGTGGATTGAGTGCCGGCCTATGAACCAAAGAGTCACCAGTTCAATTCCCAGTCAGGGCACATGCCTGGGTTGCTGGCCAGTTCCCCAGTAGGAGGCATGCAAGAGGCAACCACACATTGATGTTTCTCTCCCTCCTTCCCTTCCCTTCTCTCTAAAAATAAATAAATAAGAGCCTAAAGGGATTTAGAAACCATTTAGCTCAACTCACGCATTTCAAAGATAAGGGAGCCAAAGTTCAGGAAGATTAAGTGGCTTCCTCAAGTTCACACAGCAAGTTATAACAAAGTTAAGAGCAAATAGTTTTCTTTTATGTTTTGGAAACCATATCAAGTTGTCTGCATTTTATCTACAGAAATATAAAACCTTTGCCACTATAAAATCATCATTTCAAACATGTAGTTTAGAGATGTCCAGGTTAATTCATACCTTCAAAGCTATTAAAACAAACACATAAAACTTGACTTAAATAAGTAGCTCCCTGAGGACAGCTAATTTTCTACTATTTCTCAGACTCTCTAGACCCAACACTATTTTGGCTTTCAAACAATTAAAATACAAGTTTGTTTGTTTTTTTTAATACAACTATCTTGCTTCCTAAGAATAGAGGCTATCCTGAGAAACAATAAACTGTAAATTGTAGTACAAATCATAACATCTTTTGGAAAAAAGTTTCCAGTTTTTCAGTAACAATCTTTTCCCTAGGTTTGGTTATCAATTCCTTGGTTAATAGGATGTAAATTAACAGGCTTGACAACTTTATGCCACTTAAAATAAATCAGCGTATTTTTAAAAGTTTATCAGTTTCTGCTAAATGTCCTTATTATAAATCCCGTTACATGAGTTTCTTTAGGATCATTTACAGATATGCAGTTTAATTACAGCCCAATACTATTCATTTCATACAAGAGACTGAAACCATTCAAAAATGACCTTATATATTCAAATTTAACTTGACTTAAGCCAAATACTAAAGTACCAATGTAAAGTTTTGTCTCATCTGTACTTAATGGTATCTGTTATCCTTGCACTTTGATTCATGGTAATAATTTATGTGTACTCCACTCATCTATATACAACAAACATTTCTCATCATGTTTCATGTTCCAGGAATTACTGTTGGACATTTTATATGTCATCCTATTTTATCCTCAAAACAATCTAATGAGGTAGCTCATCATAACCCCATTTTAAAGAACAGGAACATACAATCCAGGAATTCCACTTTTGAGCATATACTCAAAACAATTCAAAGCAGGGACTCAAGCAGGTACTGATACACCCATGTTCACAGCAGCATTATTCACAATATACAAAAGGCAGAAGCAACCTAAGTGTCCATCAATGAATTTATGAATTAATAATTAATGAACAAGATGTGGGATATACATACAGAGAATGGAACATTAGACAGGCCTTAAAAAGGAAAGAAATTCTCACACACACTACACCATAGATTAAATCTTAAAGACATAAGTAAAATAAATCAGTCACAAAGGAAAAATACTCATATGAAGGACCTAGAATAATCAAATTCATAGAGACGAACAGTATGAATGATGAATGATGAAACATGATTATACTTAAGAGGATGAAAAAGTTCTGGAGATGAATGGTGGTGACAGTTGCACAACAACGTGAATGTCACGGAACGTAATTTAAAAATGGTGAATTGTATGTATAAAAAGAAGAAATAGGACCAGGTTTAGTTTCTTTTCACTTATCTATCTTTACATAAGAAGTTTGAAATGTCTAACTGTGACACTGAAGACATTATATACAACACTTCTCTTCTTTTACCTGCAGTGATCATGGACTTAAAGCAGGACTTCTGGTCTATTCGTGGCCAAATAATATACTTTGCCTTTGGTCTTTTGTGTCGTAATGTTAAGAAACACAGAGTTAGGCTCATACCAGTTGCCATAGGCACTACAAAGCAACTGGTCACTGTATGGACACCTAGGAAAAAGTAGTAAAACAGAAATTAGTTATTACACTGAAAAACCAGCATCTTCTTGAAGAAATGATATACTTCTAGCAAATAATAATAGTTGTAGATTTAGTGCTTCTTCTTCTCTCAGAAAGCTCACTCTCAGGAAGCTCACTGCCAAATTCATCCTCCATGCTTATGACTCTGATTTTCTGTCTTATTCTAAAAATAGATAAACACACACCTACACGTGTGCATATATATAGATATATATCTTTTCAAAAGCTATTTATATCCTTTTTGTAAGACACATTAATAAAAGAAATTAGGCAAAGGGCATGAGTGGCTGGTCAGCCAAAAGTATTAGTACTTACCAGCTATCTTTATGATGTCCAGGACCAAAGAATTGGTAATTTTGTTCAAAAGGCTAGAACCTGCAGCTTTTGGTTGCACAGCAGAAATATCACCTGATCGTCCAATTCCATGAATGAACCTAAGCAAAAGATGGGCCAACAACTGGACAAAAATACTCAGTGTTCTAAGTACATACAACTACAATACCCCCAAAAATACCAGAAACAATGCTTGACTGTTATAGATATATTTCATCAACTATTACTATTATAAAAATATCCTATTAAGTTGAAATTAAGTTGTGAAACAAATTCACAACTATGCTGTGATATCTAGTCTCCAAAGATGGCCACCATTAATTCCTTTCCTCCCTATGCCCACATGGTACAGCCACACCAAGAGACAGAGTCTAATTTCTTCCACTTGAATCTGGCCTGGCCTTAGTGACTTGTTTGCCCAGAAATAATCCAACAGAAGTAATGGTCAGGAACTTTTGAGTTAGATCGTAAGATGCCTTAAAGCCTTCCACCAATCCTCTTGAAGGGCTTGCTCTTTGGGTGCTCCCTCTTATGATTCAGACGCCACGCTGGGAGAAGCCAAAGCCACACGGACAGGCCATCTGAGCTCCCCAGCAATCTAAGTGCGTCGATTTGGATAAACTGCACGGCTGAAACTTCAGATGACTAAATTCTCAGCCAACAGCTTAACTGCAACTACATGAGAAACCCAAAGCGATAATCACCCTGTTGAGTTCAGTTTACCCACAGAACTATGAGATAATAAATGATTGTTTTAAGCCACTAAGTTTTTGAGTGGTTTGTTATGCAACAGTAGAAAAACAAAACATACACTACATTAAGTTCTCTTCTTTCTTTCCTTTTCCCCTAACCAGAGCAGGGGGCTAAGTTCAAATGGGGATGAGTTGATATTTCAAATGTTCCTCTAATCCATTTTTTGAAAATTTGTGTGCAAATCCACCCATTTTAAATTAGATGTTGTATGCTATTTAAAAATACCTCTGAATAGTCTTCAAAATCAAAATGTATTTGTAATTTACAGTAAAATAGATCAGAAATTCTACACACTGGAATTATCACAGAACATTAGTTTCACACTTCTTTACAACTCATCACACTCATGTACAAAGAATTTTTTTACAGATAATATCAACTGTTTTACAGCTAATGTCCTGCCATTTATTTTCTTCCAAAATCATCTATTCTCCATAAACGTTAACATACTGCTGTAATGGGATACCTGTTACCTATCCCCACTGATAACCCTTTCGATAAAAGCCTTTGGACACAGGAGCTCGGGGCCTTCTCCACTAGAGGGAAGAGCCAGGTCCCCTCTCCTGGCAGACGGAGAAGTGCTTGCGACCGACGACTCATTTACTCCCCCATCCGTGACAACCCCCGACAACCCCAGGACGGGCTCTGCGGGATTCAGAGTCTGGCGTCCCACCTCAGCTGGGCCCTGACAGTGACCTTCAGATCCGGGAGCCCTGCGCTCCCCGCAATGACGACTGTCAATGAAATGGTTATTAGAACTGAAGAAAAGCTTTTTGCAAAAATACAAAAGAGTGACTTAATAATCTAAAATTACATTTCATATACCTTTTCATATGTCTATTGCAACAAAAGCAAGGTGGCTAAAAATGGGATTTGGTTTAGATGCAGATGAACAACTCTTTAAAGTTCTGCCTATCCATCGTTCTCTTAAAAAACAAAAATTGTAACTGTAGAAAGGAAACATGGAAAACTATAGATAATCTTAACATGTTTTAAATTCTTACAAACACTAGGTATATTAGGTTATCTGTTCTTAATAGAACATACAGCCAGTATTGTTAACTACCCAGAACTTGTCAAACACTTGTACCCTCCTCTCTTGAAAGGCAACTACTCAGATTAAACTGTTGCATCTAGTTTACACACCCATTTTGAGTAAGGAAGTAGATCCCAGACATTTTATAATCTAATATGATAAATACTGCCACCATTGTTTTTTTTGGGGGGGGGGGCGGGCCAAGGAAAAAAGAAATGTTTTCACATGCTATTTTAAAAAAATACCTGTAATGACGCCGAGCAACTAACGCCGAGGCCACTCTGCCCTCCCTTTCTCCCACACCACAGTTGCCCAGGAAATTGTTGCTGTCCATGATGGCGAGTTCATGCAGAAAGAGTTCAAGGGTGCTTTCATCCCAGCCATCCTCCGGACATTTGCCCTTCAAACAAACAAACAAAAAACGCACAATTATACTGAATTATAACTTAATTATATTTAAGAACCCACGTCAATGAATTTTAAAACTTCTTAATGCGTTATTTTTGCGATGCTCCTTGCTGTCTACAATTCGGACAGAAATTGAGTCCTATGAAGAAACCTCCAGCAGGCAAAACATTGTACGTTACACTGTGTTACGGTTATCTACAGATTGCAAGAAGGGATCAATGGAACACGATGAGAGATTTACTCAGGTTTAAAGTTGCAATAAGTTACGGTAACTGAAAATCAGTAAAACCTTATCTTCAACGCAGATTCTTCAAGCCAGAGTGTTAAAACTAGAAGCTGTCCAATTGGAGTGAAGTTAAAACTCGAAAATGTTGGCAGAAGGGAGACCTGGGATGTTCCGAGGCAGCCCTTGGTTCGAGGAGGTATATCGTGGCTTATAAACATGTGTTCCCCGCAGTTCTAGGTGAGAGGTGTGAACTTTGCCCTTTCCGCTAACAAGAAAGTAAACCGAGTGGGACTTCCACTCACTTCCACATCCTGAAGTCACACAAAATGGGACTCAAAACCTCAACCCTCGCACACCGCCTAACAACACTCTCTGGGTTCCGCCGTCTTTGGCGAGGTTTGAGAAGGCGCTGAGCGCAGCAAGCCGGCACAGTGCTCGCCAAGCTACGACAGCCTCGGGGACAGCTCTCAACCAGCAAACGAGAGGAGCGAGGGGAACGGACTCCGCCGTCACCGGCGCGGGGGGAAGGGGGGTGGGGCGAGCCTGGGGGCGCGGCGGCTGCGGAGGGGCCCGACAACTCGGTACCTTCTCCAGAAGCAGCCGTATGAGGTGCTCATGCGAGCGGCGGGCCTCACAGCCCTGCCGCACGTAAGCCGGCGACACCAGCCGCTCGCCGGCCGCGAAACTCTCCCGGTTCATGGTGGCGGTAGCAACTGCGGCGGGAGAACGAACAGTCGCCAGGAAACGGGCAAAGGGCAGAAGGAAGATACAACTTGCCGCCTGGACGGTACGGCAATACCTCGGGTCAAAAATTTACGTCTCGCTCTCGCACATGCGCAAACCGCCTCAGACGGTGCATCAGAAACCGGAAAATTTGAGCATGCGCGGGGGTGTCGCGAGTCTAGCGAGCTTCAGAGGGCACCGAATATGAGCCTCGCCTCGCTGCCTCTGATTGGTCTAGTTAATTCATAGAGTTTCTAAGACAGACTTGAAGGAAGGACTTTGCACTTGTGCAGAAGAGCTGAGGAAAGTAAAGAATAACGGCGTGGGGTTCCCCGAAGAAAAAATGCCCTAAGTCACTCTGTGCCGGTCCTGTTGAATGGTGAGATTTGCGCTGAGTCTGTTTCAGCCTTCCTTAGACCGTGTTTCTCAGATTCCAGAACATTTCATCCTTACTGTATACCTCTCACAGACCCTTATGAAATAGCAATTCTTCACTTCTTTTCTCCTCTGCACTACAAAATTTTTAGCCCTATCACCCACCACGTTACATGACAGAATTTTGTTGTTACACACGCACGCACACACCCATGAATTAAACTCCCTAAAGGCAGTGCCGTGGTTTTTACTGCCAAATCCACCCACGCCCAACCCCTAGCCTCTAGAATAGTTCCCAGAATATAGTAGGGGCTAATTTAAATATATATAAATATATATTTATACATAATTTTAATATATATTTATATATTAATGTAAATATTAATTTATATTAATTGACTTACGTTGACCATTCAACAACCTAGCGCTAGGTGCCGGAGATACAGAAATGAAAAGTCAGGATCCTTGCCTTCGATTTCTTCGCAGTCTTCACCTTAGATGAATCTACAGTAGCTCCCAACATTGCACTTGTGCTAGAGCCCATTTACACCAGTTCACACTTACTTGCAAAAGTTGATTGTTAAATGTTCAGTAATTTTGTGAGCTGGTTTTTAAATACAGCTGATCTTTAACAACAAATAAGTTTACAGCTAACTGTATTGAAACATAAATGTAATACATGCTCAAACTCATCACTTCCTAATTACTACGTTTTACTATTACCTATGATTTTGACATAATTTACATCAATTTTATCTGTACGGTGGAAATAGGATATAATGGTGCTGCTACCCATCCCTGTCCAACTTCCTTTTCAGTGGTATTACGTTGGTAGCTTGAAATGGGCCATGGTGGGAGTATTTACACCATGGAAATCAGCAAACGCTGGAAATCAGGGCCTTACCTCCCTACCCACACCCCACCAGGAGTCAGTGGTTTAACATGTACTAACTCACCACTGTTCCTACTGTGTGTTCCCAGGGTATTCTGCCATTTATGAGCCATGGTACTTGTCTAATTGCATTTCAGTTGTTAATTTTCTGTCTCCCTTAACTAGACTCTGAGATCCTGGTTGACAGGGCTATAGTTCATATCTATGTTCAAAGCGCAAACTGAACACATAATAGATGTTCAACAAATATTTGTTGAATGATATAGACAATTTGAGACCTGTGTAAATCTACACAGAAAGATAAATTGCAAAAACAATGAAAATTTAGCTTATTTTTTTCAAAATAAGCATTAACTTTCAAACTTTGGAAAAGTGGAAATCTTATTCCCAAATATGGAACTATTTTGACAACTTTTCCTTTGGAAACATCTTCAAAGCCGCCCTGTTGATCACATGCAAAATGTGCAAAAATCCCAAGATCCATCTCAATAATGAATGTATACACTAGGTTTTGAGCCAGCAGATTCTCTCACATTATTCACCAGTCTTAATTTGGAAAAATGTTTGTTTCCAAAAACTAAATCCATCAAGACATGCCATCATTGAAGGATTCAAAAAACGCAGTCTGCGGAGACTATCTCAAAAGAAGTGTTCCAAAATTATTTTTATCCATTCACTCACCCAATGAAAATTTTTGAGTACCTACTGTTTCTAACAAATAGGGCAGTATCAGAATAATTCTATTGTCTTTACAAGATGTAATGTAGTTTAAAATAGGTCCAGCCTTTGTGGGTCTGAATTTTGCCTGTGTCACTAGTTGTGTGGCCTTGGATACATTATTCATAGTCTCTGAGCTTTGCTTTCCTCATTTGTAAAGTAGAGACATGGAGGAGATAGTTATGATAATTAAGTGAAGTCTAGCTGCTCAATGACATCTTCACCTTGATAGACTGTACAAATGGATAAGGGCCAGATGAGAACCTTGACCCCCAGTCTCAGTGGCAAGAAGCCCAGGAGGCCAAACAAAAACCCCTGCAGCCATCTGCCCAGAACAGTTAGAATATGGTCAGTAGAATATGGTCAACAGAATATGGACTGCCAGTTTCCCAATTTTTCCACCTGCTTCTAACTCAGAACAAACCATAGATAGCCAAATATATACACTCCCCAAACCAATGACGTAAGATGCTCATTTTTAGTTAGCCAACTTTCATCTTCCCCTTGCCAACAACCTCCAACCAGAGTACTCCTGAACTTTTCCGCATTTTTAAAATATATTTATTGATTTTTTTTTTTTTTTTTTTTAGAGAGAGAGAAAAAGGGAGAGAGAGGAAAAAATCAATGTGCAAGAGAAGCATTGATTGGTTGTTTCCCATATGCACCCCAACCTGGGGTTCAAACTCACAACCCAGGTATGTGCCCTAACCGGGAGTCAAACCCCCAGACTTTTGGTGTACAGGACACTGCTCCAACCAACTGAGCCACACCAGAAAAGGCTGAATGTTTCCTCAGTTTTTATCCATAGAGCTTTTCCACTCCCCTGCCTGCCTTTGAGGCTTCCAAATGTAAGTGATGGTGACTAATTCTCTTTCTCCAGCAAGCTCTGAAAATCTGTTATTCGAGTGGTCTTCGTTTATTTCCACAGTTTTCCTGAAGACTCCATTGAGACACGGTCTTCACTGTCCATCACCGTGGGCCCCAGCCTTCGACCAGATGAGGTACCCACAGAGGCCCCTTGTCCCTTGCTATTTGTGGCTTGTCAAGTCTGTGCCATTGTGGCATGTCAGTGCTGGGTGTGAACTCTCCTGTCTTTGCATTAAGCTCCTCAGCTATTGATTCTAAGTTTGGTACCCAGGTTTTGTTATTGGTTCCCATTAGTTGGGCATCCTTGGTGGAATGAAGTTATTCCTTTTCATCTCTGTTGGCTCTCCTTTGTACTTCTGTTTTGTACTTTGCTGCCTAGAAGTGTTGTTTGTCATAAGAAGTGGAACCACAGGGTGGAACACAGCCCCAGGCCATAGAAGCCTGTTTTTGGAGTGGCATTATAGACCAAGGAGCTTGCAGTTCTCTCCAAACTGGCATGTATTTGGGCAAACTTTGTGGGAGGTAACAAATAAAACTAGATGAGGTTCCTGCTGTCTTGATTTTTTTTATTTTTTTATTATTATTATTATTATTATTATTATTATTATTTTGGTCTTGAGAGTTTGCCTGTAATTCAGAGAAAGGATTTACTCTAATTTTCCACCTGCCATGGGGCACAGATTGTCAGGTCTATGTTCAGAGGGGCCATCCATCAGGAGGGGAGCCTGAGGCGCTAAGAGTACAAGAGTCACTTTGAACTACCTGCTGCTAGCTCTCCAGAGGTCCTCCAAGCCTAATCCCCTCCTCCTCCTCCAGGGAAAACTGCTGCTGCTTATATATGTTCTCATTACAACCCTAATTCAGGAGCCTAGCTCTCAGGTGGTGTAACTTCAGCAATGAGGATTTGGGCCTTCAGTGGCCGCTCTAGGGAACATTTGACTTAAATGAATGTTTTATTCAATAGGTGTCTAGAAAAGGAGGGGAATTAAGATTTCTCTTTAAGAATCTAGTTTTGATTGGTATGTAGAGGACTCCAAAAGAAATTCTGGTTCAAAAATTATTTTACTAAAAAATTCTTTGGCCAAGCTAGTGGGTAATTTGGCAAATGTAGGCAACAACAAACTAGGCTCATGATCTCATATATCCTTCCTCTCCTTGTTCCTCAGTTGCCTCGCTATATCCAATACCCTTCTTCCCCTTTATCCTTCTGATCTCTCTCTTTCCTCACCTCCATCGACCACTCCCTTCTCTTCCTCTTGACCAGACCCCCTACCTTTCCCCAACAACTCTGCGAAGACCACAAAATACTAATTGCCTGTAGAAACACATCCCTCGCATGAGCCAGGTATGCAGGCAACTGTAGAATTTAAACTTTGGACCCAAGATGAATTAAGGGCTGTAATTAAGGACCCTCCCTACCCTCCAACCAGATCAGCAACTATCTCAGGAAGAATTTAAAATTCTTTTGGGTGCATGTGATTCAGGGTTACCTAACTTACATTAATATGTACACATGTTGGTCAGAACCTCAGGTGCTAAATCTTAGATGGCTGATTGGACTGGCCCAGAAAGGGATCTACAAGATCTCTCTTTCCACACCAAACCTAGGTTTAAAAAAAAAGGCCTGGTCCAGACCTGTGTGGTTCAGTTGCTTGGGTGTCATTCTGCAAAACAAAAGGTCACTGGTTTGATTCCTGGTCAGGGCACATGCCTAGGTCGTGGATTTGAGGCAACTAATTGATGTTTCTCTCTCACATTGATGTTTCTCCCCCTCTCTTTCTCCATCCCTTGCCCTCTCTCTACAAAATAAATATTTTTTTAAAAATAAAAAGGCCTGAAAAATAGGGCAAAGTCTCCTAAAAGTAGTTTTCCCAGACATTTCCAATAAAATTGATTGGGCCATAATTCAATCATGCAAACAGAAAAAGATGAAAATATGGGAGATTTTTATGAGAGACTAGAAAATATCTTCAGATATCATTCAGGAGTTAATGAAGGTGTGGGCGTAAAAGCACCTCTTTCATCTCATTCAGTCAGTGGAGGTAAACCTAAAACTGGAAGCCTAATTCAAAAGTAGAAATTAGAATGGGAAATAGCACCTTTGCCTAAACTAAAACACCTGTCAGAACAATCAGAGGGGTTAGAATAAAAGTGAGATAGAATCCAAAATAAAATATGATCTTGCAAATCAAATAGCTAGGTGGCCCAAGTCACCCGATTTGACAAGGACAGTGTAG